TTCCTTCACAGCTTGTGCGGTTGCGCCGCCACCGACATCAAGGAAATTAGCTGGATCCCCGCCATAGAGTTTAATAATATCCATGGTGGCCATGGCTAAACCAGCGCCGTTCACCATGCAGCCGATAGTACCGTCTAAAGCAATGTAGTTCAGATCGAATTTAGCTGCCTCCACTTCTTTGGGGTCCTCTTGAGTCCAGTCACGCAATGCAAATAATTCCTTCTGACGAAATTCAGCATTATCATCAAAACGGAATTTAGCATCCAATGCGAAGACTAAGTTAAGATAAAACATTTGATTTGTATTAAAAATTTTATATTCAGTGGGTTTCAACACGAAGATGAATGGAATGAGACAAATTTATGCGAATTCCTACATTTTAAGGTCTACTAATGAACCTTGTGCGCCGTTATATTTTGAAGTTATTCATATGTTGGTATTTAGATACTTTTAATACATCAATAACAATAATTTGTATTTAAATATTTTTCATATTCGATAATGTTAAGTTTTGGAAATTTCAATGCTGTGATGTCATTATACACAATGTTTCTATGTTTTAAAGTAAATTTATATGAATAGCTTGCTTAAAAAAAATTATGAAACCGGCCATTTTAGAACTAATAAAAACTGTCGTTTGCAAAAAGCTATTTAGTATAACAGAATTCCAAAATTATTTATGATTACTAATATAAGAGGCTTATTACTTACAGGAACCTGCGTTATTGTGGCATTAAATGTTTGATAAAAAGAGATATTTTTTAATTTGTTGACATTAATTCCATCGATTTACATTTCGTAATTGATTGATGAAGTCATGGGTATTTTTGTTAATTATGATTAAATTAGACAACATTATGTTAAATAGTTTAATGAAGTTTCTATGCTTTTGCAATATACTTACAGCCTTCGAGAGCATCTTCTGCATAAGGATTAATTTCAATGAGTAAAGCGTCCTTCTTTACGAACAGCTGATACATGTTCATTAGCATTTTTACGGTCTCCTCTTGGAATTCACCCAAGCCAACGGAATTCACCACTTTAGCTGCTTGATCAGGTGTCAATCCAACTTTAATATCAATTGGTTCATAAACAATAGCATCAGGGTTTTCGGCAGCCACTTCCTCAATATTAACACCACCTTGTGATGAAGCAATGATAACTGGACCCTTTTTTTGAATAGTTTTCAAATTAATAACTTTAAAGGGTAATATGTTTATATACAAACATTAAAGGCTCGCTCCATCATAACGGCAAAATAGAACTCACGGCGTGGGAATTTGCGCTCCGCAACCATAACAGAATTACAGATGCGACCAGCAGCGCCAGTTTGCTTGGTTACTAAAAGTTGATTTACCATCTTGCTGGCAATTTCTTGAGCTTCGGTAGGTCTACGATTGAATTAAGTATTGCTAAATAATAGCGTATTTAAAGTTTATTAAATCCTTACGTATTTACAACGCGTACACCACCCTTTAAGCCATTCTTAAAATGACCTTTTCCGCGTCCACCAGCCAAAACTTGCGCTTTCAACACCAGATTATTCGTATCGAGTTTTTGGGCAATTTCTTTGGCTTCTTGACCGGACTTCGCTACGCCAAACCTGAGAAATGATTCACAATGTACACAAATTATCAGCGCTAATAGAACGTAATCCATCTCATCGTGACGTATTCAACCATAAAGATAACATACGTATACGTAGTATGATGTATACAACTTAAATATATATTAAATACAAAAAACCTACTTTAAGTATTTTACTGTTTATTATCTTAAATATTTTAAATACTCCACTATAAACATTAAACCTAATTTATTGTGCATTAAATAATCACATATGTGTATAATTATTGTGTTTTTATGTATTTATTTACACATCGCCCTGAAATTACTGTATGTATGCCAAACAGCAAATCTCAAGCTAGGTACAAAGTCTGCTGAAATTACTCATTTAGCATCACAACTTTACTAATGTTGTTGATAAGCAACTAATTAAAATTGCGTAATTGTATAAGTTCAGTATATACTTTACATTTGGCATTTTTGGTCTTGAGATATTGCAGAGAAAATACTACACTTAATATTTAAAACATATGGAATTTCCAGAGAAATCATGTTTTGGGTTATTTTTCCGAAGTCAAATAAAAATAGCCAATATACAAATAATTTGTATATAACTTCAATAAATCTCTGTTAAGCATACAATATTTCTTAAGTAATTGATTAAACAGGTATTTTTAAATATTTATTAACATACTTTGGAGTTGGGATACCGGCTTCATTAAGTAAAGTGTATGAAACATGTTCTTGAACATTAAGGTTCCTTTTCTGCAGACTTCCGCTGGTGGCAAGCGCAAGAATCTGAAAAAAAGACAATCAAATTGCAAAATAAGAAAAGGTTAATATACATATCTGTGTGTGAATTTGTTTACGTTTATATACTAAAAACGTTACATTCTCTAATTAAACAATACAATAATTACAACGACTTTAATTAATTACGTCACTGATAATGAACCCTAAAAAGAAAGTCAGCTGAGAATTTCATAGTCAACAGTTGATCAAACGTTTCAGACCTTGCTAGTGAAGTCTCCTATCTCCACCATCCACCCAACAACATACAACAAATCTCAACAATTATGTAAAAAATTTGCCAAAAAATCCACCATACCTTTTGCCCAACCTTTGGGTTTACGATTTCATTCAAAATACCCGTCCGAGCCAATAAAGCAGCCATATTTAACTAGTGAGGCAGTAATTAAAAAATTTATATATTAATATATTATATAGCGATTGTAAATTATTCGGAAAATATATTTTAAAAAATCTATATTATTCCAACCACCAAAAAATGTCGACAGCAAATATGTGAGAATAACGAGTGACTCGACTGCAAAATAATCCTATTCAATGTCAAAATCAAAGTGCTGCCAAGTCAAAACTGTTTCAATTAATCGCATCATAAGGCAATTGTACACACAGAAAGGTATAAACAACCAATTTTGGAGTTTGCATACTACAATGGCTGTTATTACAAAGAATAGTTCTGCCGTCACCTAGATTTTTAATTTCGTGTGATAAATACGTAAATAAAAATTTAACAATTGGATTGTAATGAAATGTCTATTTATACATTTCTACGACTATCGATAAGTTTTAGTCGATTATGCAATAATAAATAAACAAACCCTCATCAATAACTAACACCACAAAGATTGTTGATATTCTTACAGCTCCTATTTTAAAATTCTCTATACACATTGCAAATTATAGAAATTTGTACTTATTGAAGCTTTTCGCTTACAAAAGCAAATAATGATGAACGCTGTGAATACAGAAAGTTTTCATAAAAGGTGTTTTTTATGTCGGAGGAAAATCTTATCTACGCAAAATCAGAGACTCGTCGATAGCAGTACATGTCCCGCATCAAAGAAATCCTTTAAGGATGTATTATCTTACTTGGCGCGTCACGCGAATTCTGAGCTATATATTGGCTATGGCGAATCTGTATGTGCAACATGCCATTTTGATGTGGTTGAATATGACACTTACCTCATGAAAGCTTTAAAGAAGCAACGTGCCCTTCTTGATTTAATAGAAAAAGCAGTTTTGGGAGTTGATTCTGATTTTGATAATGAATTTGATTCGGATATGAGCGCACTAGATGAATTGACCAACGACCATTTCTTTGATGATGCTCAAATTTCGGATACTGAAATTGCGCAAACCATAGATGATGCTATTGGAGAAAAATCGGAGAATCGTTCAACAAGTCCATGTGGAATAAATAAGAGAAATCGTGCGACTGGTACCAAGTGTGATTTTTGCGCCATGCGATTTCAAACAAAATCAGGGTTAAAAAAACACATAACAAACGCACATAAAAAGTTTAGTTGCGAATTGTGTAATTACAGTCATCGTAATGAAGACTATGTATTGCTACATATGAACACGCATGATGGACGAAATGAGAACCAATGTCGTTTTTGTGACAAAGAATTTTCAACAAAAATTAGCACAATTCGACACATGGAAGTACATTTCAATTCCAAAAAGTATCAATGCGATAAGTGTGGCCTCTGCTTTTCACAAACAACCGTGTTATACAATCATAAACTACAACACGAAGCTGAAGAACAACCACTTCAATGTGAGGTTTGTTCACAAGTTTTTAAAACTAAGCGCACATACCGTCATCATATGATAACACATCGGGCGGACCGGCCTCGTTATAAATGTGAATATTGCACTAAAACATTTACAGAAAAATATACTCTTAAAGTTCACAAACGAACGCATCCTGAAGCAATGAATTCCAGTGACGTCGCTCAAGTAAAGGAGCAGCAACAAGATATCCCACCAGATAACGAACGCGCACAAACCCAGGATATCAAATTCAATTGTGTAATTTGTGATCAAATATTTACAGCTAAGGATCATCTAAATAAACATATGGAGAAAGAACACGACGTTATACTTAAATCCTTAACGATCAATAATTTTTCTGAATTTGATGTGGTCGATGACGAGTCAAAGAAAGCTTGTCATATATGCGGCCAAATGTTTAGTGCCCAAGCAAATTTAGACTATCATCTCAAATATGTTCACACGAGTACATTTTAAAAAAATATAACAATTGCTTCATCAGTAATTTTTTTATGTTATACGATTAGTATTTCATTGATTTATAGGTATTAATTCTCTTAGGTATTAATTTATGTACATATATATGTGTGTATGGTCCGTCACTAGTAATTGTTTTCTGTTCTTTTATTTCCTTAATATAGTACGTAAAAGGCTATTTTCAAATAACCAAATCATTTGATCGAAATCACAGTACTATGTTTCATATAATTTGAAGAAACACTAATTATGTTATTCAGAGTCAGTAACTAGAACTAGGTTAAATAATAGTTCGTTTATATCCACGTTTGCTTTAATTATATATTTGCCTGTATTATGTTTCCGAGGTCCAAATAAAAGGATATACATATATCTAAAATTAGTAAATTTTTATTTATTTCAAATAAATTTGTCTTCCGATTTTAGAATTACGTCGTGTTGCTCTTTCATGTGCTGATTGCATATATCCCTGGAAGAAAATTGATCGGAACATATAACACATTCGAAGGTTTCTTCTTCCTGGTGCACCGAAGGTTTAATTTTTCTTCGTCCCCCTCTGCGTTCTCCATCTTTATCAGTATGACATCTGAGATGAACTTTAAGTGTATATTTTTCAACAAATGTCTTCTCGCAAATTTCACAGCTATAACGTGGGCGATCATCACGATGTACCCATAAATGGTTTCTATAAGTACGTCGCGTTTTGAAGGATTGGTTACATACTGCACAAATCAGCGGTTCATCTTCAGCATCATGCTGCAATTTGTGATTATAGTAAAGTGGTAACTCGGAAAACCTTAGTCCACATCTTTCACACTGAAAATTTTTTTTGTCCCAATGTTTATGCATATGTCGAATAACATTGATTTTGCGAGAATAACGTTTGTTGCAGAAACGGCATTCCAAATCAGACCTTCCTTCGTGGATATTTTTATGCAATTCTAAATATTCTTCATCTTTTGCGATAATGCCGCAAACTTCACATTTCCAAATTTGTTTAGATGGTTTATGTGCAACGTTTATATGTCTATTCAGAAGGGTTTTACTTTTGTAAGCTGTACTACATATTTCACATTTAGATGGAATGTTGTATTTGCGAACACCAGCGGGAGGGTCTTTAATTGTATCCAATACCAGTTTTTCTATATCTCTGAAATCTTCGCCATCATCAATAATAGACTCGGGTTTTTCTTCTCTCTCTATAAATGTCTTATCAGCATTATTTTCATCACCAGTGAAACTCTCTCCGGTTGTGCTTTAAATACTTATATCGATTTCTTCTATTTTTATATTACCATCTTCTATGCATTCATCCAACGCTTGTGTTGCTATAAGCTTGTCGCTGAGCTCTGGATTCCGCAAAAATGAAATAATACGTTTTTGTATTTCCAACAATTTGACCATATGCTCGTCGTATAATAAAAGATCATAGTAGCAAGTTTTACATATATAGCATTCATTGAATTGATTAGTCCATGTTATAACAAGAGGCGGTTTAGATATTTTTGCTAAATAATCAACAATTGAACGGAGAGACTTTTTAGAAAAAGGAGATTTTTTATTTATGTCTTCAATTTCATCGCATTCATTTAGGAACACTCTGCAAAGAAGGCAACGCATACTTAAGTTGTTTTAGCAGACTCCAACGAGTTTAACACATCCAACAGTGTTTGTATATATTTGTTGTTTATAAGTTGAATAACTGTCAAATTTATTAATAGGTATTTTTTATAAAAGCGAAAGCATAAGTGTTGTGCAAAAAGTTAACAAATGAGTTTGTCAAACGTCGGACTTATCGATATAGAGCATAAAACTCATTTATCGAACAGAGGTAGAGAATAGGCCTTAGCGATATTGCCACTTTGAAATTCTAAATTTTGCACAAAATAATTAAAATGCAAAACGAGATACGATAAACATTAAACATCGCAAATCAAGAAGTTTGTAAGAAAAGTATAGAAATTATTTCTTAACAAAATGTCAAAATTTTATTTCATATGAATTTGTTTTCAATTCTCAGCGTTGCAACCACGTTTATTTATGTAAGCATCATACAAAATCTATGACCGTGATACATTTTTGACAGTAATTTGCAGGTGCTGAGCAGTTCTTCTTATGTATGAAACATTATAAAATTCTTACTCAAAAGCAGTTTTTAATTGTATAGTTTATTAATAAATAACCAATAAGTTATCATCAAAAATTTAATTTTCCCACGTTAACGATGGCAAATGCTGCCCATTACCACTAAACAGCGTACCCAAATGTAAGCGATGTGATTATCCGACATTATTCTATCACTGATATACCATCCTTTGTTTCATTAATTCCGTTCGTTCCCTTATCGCCAGCGATGGTCGACCATTCAGTTATTTACTTAGGATGCAATATTTCGTAAATTTAGCTTGTAAAGACTACGAGAAAACAATTTAATTTTCTTCTAAATTGATATAATGCGAGTGAGTGCAGTTTGGCAGCATTTTGTCAAAGTTGACGAAGGTAGAAGAGTGAAGTGCAAAGAGTGCAATAAATTGTTAAAATACAACAAAAGTACGACAACACTTTCGTTTCATCTAAGAGCGATGCACGGAATAGACACAGGTAAAGTTACTGACTCAAAATGTTATCAGCTCCATTAGTTATTTGTGGTATTTGCCCATCACTTAAATAAGTAGTCGATCTTAAAATTGAAAATAAAGGGGGGATATAGCTTATAAATCGGATATCGACTAACCATCCCTAACCCCACTTTTCAGTGGTTAGTTAATGTGTCGCCTTTACCCAAATCGATAAAGGTCGAAATCGACTTCTATGAAATTATAATAATAAATTTAACCGGTCAATTCAAATGGGAATCAATCACCTATTCTGTTTCAAATTGCATTGTAAACGTTGCATTCTATTATTTTAAGTTAGTCTGCAGTTTTGCGTAACATTTTAATAAATTACAATGAACCTTATCCAATTCCATGTTGTTCACGTGAATTGAACGGTTTATCTCGTTTTATAATAAAACATAGTCTCTGAAAATAGAGCAAATATCTGATGCAATCCTAAAGATTTTAGTAGATAGCTCGTAGTAATTTATTGCATAAAAATGACCACAACCACAAACTGAAATTTTATCTTTCCAGCAAAACCTAAGGCTGAACTCGATTATATTGACAATGCAAGTACCATTCGAGAATTAACCAGCGAGTATTGCTTTTTGTGTGGTAAATCGGACAAACCCTCGAACCAAACATTCCAAAATATTGAAACATGCAAAGTGCCGGCATCAGGAAAACCAGTTCAGGTTGTATTACAACATCTGGCCCATTGTGTAAAAACAAATCTGGTGTTTCAAGGGGTCGCAAGTATTTGCTTGGAATGTTGTGATGAATTATCTGAATATGACAATTTAATGGTTAATCTGCTTTCATTTCAAAAACGGTTAACCGAAAAATTACGATCGGTTTTGTCTGGCGAACTAAAGTTAGAACAGATCGATTATGATGAGTCTATTGCTGAAGCAATGATCGTTGAAGACGATGGCCAGGTAGAAGACGCCTTTGACCCGGATATGGAGTCCAAAGAAGAGTTCATAGAAATAGTTGGAAATGAGGAAAGTGTTGAAAGCACGATCCTAGATGACGAAAGCATGCACAGTGACAAAGAGTTTAATGATGATGAGGACGAATGGAACGCCGATAAAATGTTTGGGGAAAAGAGCCAGGAATGTGTTGTCTGTGGATTAATTTTTAAAACGAAATCTGAACTTCAAAGACACATAAGCTCAGCGCATGACATAAAGCAATTTATTTGCCCTATCTGTGGAGTAGTTCGTAGAGATCAAGAGTATTTAGAATTACATATGAATCTGCATGAAGGCAAGACAGAGTTCGAGTGTCGGTACTGCGATAAACGTTTCACTAGACCAGTAAATACATTACGCCACATGCGTAAACACTGGGATAAAAAGGAATATCAATGCGAAAAATGTGGGGAACGCTTTTCTTTGGATAATATGCTTTACAACCACCGTATGCGTCATGAAGCCGAAGAGAACCCGCTTATATGCAGTATATGTAACCAGTCATTTAGGTCAAGAAAAACTTATAATCACCACATGCTTATTCACCAAGAAAATAGGCCGAGACATCATTGCACGCACTGCTCAAAGTCTTTCACCGAACGTTATACGCTAAAAATGCATATGAAATCGCATAATATAGAACTTCCTTCTAGTCGCTCAAAAGTGGCACAGCTATTAGACGAGCAGGAACTTAACGAAACAAAGGAAGCTGTATCTACGCTAATATCGAAATTTGATACATCTCCACAGAAGGAGTTTAGCTGTGTAATTTGCAGCCGATCTTTTGATAATAAAGAAAATTTGGAGAAACATTTGGAAAGCGATCATGACGTTATTTTAGGTGATGATAACAACCAGTAAATTACATGCTTATTTTTTTATAAAGAAATTTTAATAAATGTCAAAGAAATTTTATTTCTAAAACAACCGTGAAGTAAGAACTTGAGGTTGGGGTGGGAAAATTAATATGGTACCTTCGTTAAACAAACTAGCGCCAAGTGCAGGATCAATATGTCGAGACCATGAAATTTTCTCTATATATTGTAATTGAAAAATTTCAGGGTCAGTTCTTAATTCAAAAAGAAAGCATGTGGTCTGGAATTAAACTTTTTGGGTGTGATTGGGAGATTGGAAATTCAAATAAATTTCGCGAACAATTTTCACTTCACCAAAAGCGGCCTTTTCTGTAATCTTCAAAAATTTTTGTCAACTGTTTTGAATTGTCACTTGAATCCCCAATTCATTCAGTAAAACCATCACACGGTTAACGGCCAAACAACAATGAATGTTGGATCAGTTCTGCATTGTTCTAATATGAATACTCGGTTGTTACTTAATTTTCAGATTTTATATTTAAGTTGTTGGCGAAAATAAAAAAAGAACAGCGAAAAACTTAAGTTTATTCGTTCTCCTGTGATCGCAAGCGACTGTTGGGATTGGTGAGACGAATCGACAGCTGCTTGGCGCGTTCAACAATTTCCTTCCGCTTTTTAGAAGATACACCGTGGGCGATTTCTCCACAATATTCACGATTTTGCATTAACAACACCTCTAATTCACGGACATTGTGAACCAAGAACTTCTTGAAGCCAGTTGGCAGCATATGACGGGTGCGTTTGTTGGAACCATAACCAATGTTAGGCATCAGGTACTGACCCTTGAAACGGCGACGTACTCTGTTGTCAATACCTTTTGGTTTACGCCATTTGTGCTGCAAAAGTTAAAAAAAAAAAATGTTTTATTAAATTGAAAAACATATTATTTTACCAATCTCACCGAAAGCTTGGCATAGCGATCCGATTGATGACGGATGAAGTGCTTGGTGCGCTTCTTCACAATTTTTGGCCTGTATGCGGGGCGGATAGTCATCTTTACGCTATGAATTAAAGATATAAATTGCCCTTATTAGCATTTTTCACTAAATCAAAACCAACTTTTAATTGTCAACAAAATTTGTCCAATAACATAAGTCATCCAAAATGATGATAGATTTCAGCACAAAGTACATTATTCGTTATATAAACTCTTATTAAAAGACACAGAATATTATAAAAATTAATGATGTTATAAATATTTTCTGATTATTTTAGAAATTACACACCGATTTTTCTGAAAGAGCACGTCAAAAAGAAAGAAACTTGAAGTTGGCCGCTATTGACTAATTCGTAATTTGACACTTTGTGTCATTCAACAGTGTGCACAAATCAACTATTAAACACATTTCCGGTTCTTCTACCAACTTGAATTTAAATAGTCCGTGAAAAAATAAAACAATGTTTGTAAACCATGATTTTAAAAATTTAGAAATAATGCGGAATTTACTTATAATTAATTTTTTACCATCGATTTCTATTTATGTTGGCTGTTGTTGCTAATATAGGAGGATATAGCGCGAATTGACTTGTAACACAAAGTTCGTGGCACTGGAAGGGAAACGTCGAATGCAGTCGGGTCTAAGAAAACGAAACGGACTTGAATATTTATCCGGCCAAGTACCGTCTACTCGGCACAATGCCCCGAAATTACTTCAGGAAAGTTTTCAGCCCTACAACAACAAAAACAAACGTCGAAACCGTATAAAATATATTTATGTGAAGGATCAGCATGACGTCCGGAGTCAATTTAACCAGGCCTCCTGTCTGTATTCGAGATATCGATCTGAACTTTCGCACACGTCCGCAATTAACGGAGTATTATAACATAAAGCTGTCATACAAACTGAACGATCAAAATCATGTCCTTTGTATTGAAATCTTATTTATTTGACATAAAATTTAGCATGGATTTCCAAAGCAACGCTGCCAATTCCGAGTAAGTTGTCCAAGTATGTAGATTACTATCGCAAACCAAACTGAACGATCAAAATCAATTTCTTGCATAAAAATCTTTTTTGTGAAGGATATTTTTCTTGTTTTGTTTAACAAACATACATAAAGAATTATATATTTATTTCAATTTTTATTCAATATTTAAAAAATCACAAATAATACTTGCAAATTGTTACCTTACATAGACTGGTCACACTTTTTATTTAATTCGACTACATTAGTAGTTCGTAATGTATATTTACACAATTCGTAATGTATATATTCCTATAGATAATTTCATATTAGTTTATTAAGTCAATTCAAATTTCCATGATGCTTCATAATTTTCTCAATTCAAGTCTTATATTTGGTTCAACGTCGTACCACAAACTTATGTGGTCGACGAAATGTAGATCTTCATACTTGAATGTTGTAGAGAATTTGAAGTTCCGGACGAGCAATATAAGCAAAATCCTTACTGCGATCTCAGCATAACGCCAGCCTGAAAGAAATTTAAAGTGAATCTTTGCAATTGTAACCAAATAGTTCCAATGAAGAATTTCATCTTACCAATGCAGTTTCTGGCGCCTTTTGAAAATGGCATATATACATATGGATTTCGTTTGGCTATGTTTTCGGGCAGAAAATTGTCGGGATTGAAGAGGTGTGCTTTTGGTCCCCACCAAGTTTTCGCACGATGCAAAGTGAATATTGGTACTATCACTTGCATTTTTGGTGGCAAAATTAAATCTGACGTTAATTTCGTTTCATGTATAGTTTGACGTCCGACTATTGGTATTGATGGCATAAGTCGTAGCGTTTCCGCAACAACCATATCTAGGTAAGGAACTTCTTTCAGATGGTCGTAAGTAACTTGTATGTCATTTACTGACCATATCGAATGGATTTCTTGAAAAAGTTTCTCTTGAACATCCGAATGCATAGACAACATTACTAAGCCTGAATAAATCGCAGTGGCAACTGTTTCGAACGACTAAAAAATAATATTTTAACATGTTTATGTAGTATAGTTTAACAAATTTCGTGTATTGAAATTAATGTTTTGCTTAAAATTGTTCCGCTTACCGCACCAATCAAGCTGATAGATTCTATGATAACGTCTTCCTTTTCAAATTTTCCATTATCGCAATAATTTAGTGCAATATCTAAAAATGAGCTCATGGTTACTTCATCATACTGCCATTCTTCAACTTTAGGCATATTATTGTTGTTTGTACGCTTTTCTATTAACTAAGGAACATAATTATTTACTTTTCTAGTAAGAATGAATATATGTATGTATATATTTTTAACCTTATTCATAAAATTTCGCAAAGAACGGCGCGACTTATAATAATCGGGTGTGCGCGCTAAGAAACCGAGCCCCAATGTAGAACACGCAGCATCTTCGGCAATTCTCTCCATTAAACTGTTGCATATAGTAACAGTAAAAGTATTTTACTTGAAATTCTTGTACAAATATGTACATTAACTTAAATTAAATTATTCCTAAGGTTGAAGTAATTAAATGTGTGATTTCTACATAGTTATGTAATAGTTACAGAGTAATACATACATATATTAAAAAAAGAAAAAACGTTAATTTCGATTGAACCCATTAAAATATTACTCAAATAATTTACCCATATATTAATGTATGGTAATACTTACATAGTAAACAAATCGATAAGCTCATAATTTTCACTGGCACCTTCTCTCATGTCAATGCCCATAGTGGCTTCTAAAAAAGACAATATCTTATGAAAGCATTTGAAACCTTAAAATCTTTTATTGGTTCTTTGGTTTTGGTATTATACTTGCCTATGGCTATTTCCAGAGTTACGCGTTTAATAAGATCAAATAGTTTATGTTCGCCACCATTTGAAAGTTTACTCAACCGTTCAACGCTAGTATTCGCACCTCGGTTAAAAAGAGGAAAAAGGCTCATCAGTAACTTATGATTGAAATAGCCATTAATTAATTTGCGATTGTGCTTCCATGTAATAACTGAAATCGGGGAAATTGATGAAGTTAAATGATGAAGATAAATAATAGATAAATTGGTGTACTATATGTAGCAAGTGGAAAGTTGGTATTAAAAGCTTTGTGAGTAACATATGATATTATTTAATTTTAATATGTATTTTTTTATTCTTGCGTCGTACAATTTTAAGTTTTTTGTCATATTTTGATAACAATTAGTTAATAAAATTACACCATTCATTTTTAATATTTATACAATTTTTTTAATACACAGTATAGTATCAAAATTACCTTCGCTTGTAATTATTCCCTTTGGTATAGCCTTATTAATGGGATTATATAATACTTCCGCTTTGGTCAGAAACTCCGTTGATGATGTAACAGTTTTGATTATATCTGGGTCTATGGTGACAATTACTGGACACGTAGCCAGCCACGCGCAATATGTTGATGTATTGAACTCTTCGAAATATGAACTAATTATGTATAAAAATCCTATTGTTTTTCACAAAATAATATAAATTTCGATTAGCATATTTTTAATTAACGTATTGATATCAGCTCACTTTTGATAGGTACCAACTTATATGCTATCCCAATAAATGGTAGTCCAAAAATTGTTGGTATTTTCGTTGTGATATTTTTGAATTGTTTACGTTTAGTATAAATATAAAAATATGAAGTCAAAATGAAACACACGATTCCAAATGCATAACGCAATTGCACACAGTAACAATTATCATAATTTTCCGTACTTGGAGACATTTTCGAATGTAATTAGTATAAATTTTCGATGAAACTAACTTTAATAAGACAGTCTACATTGTTTTATATGAGTTCCTATATACATTAGTAAAACCAACATTTTTTGGCTATTTTGCAGTAGTTAATGGTTTTACTGCCATTAATTTATTTTTGTAATTTTTTAATACAACAAATGTATGTATGTATGTAGGTATGAACAGTGCTATATAATGTGTATGTACAGGTAAATATGCATACGTGTGTATATTGTTAATACAAAGGGCAAATGACTAGAAATTTTAAAGCACTATTACGAAATATACAGAAATAATCGGACGTAAGTAGTCCCAACATTCTTATATTATACGCAGACGCGTGTAGAATCATATTTATTGTCACCCAAGTAATGGCGGTCAACCCGCTCTTTGAACTTATTATTAACAGAAACATTTATGTATGTATGTTGATTTGATAATGTCAATAACAGCCGTACTGCTTCTACAGGCATGTCTTTTTATTTCATATTAAATACTTATAATCGTTCAATTGACATACAAGAGAAACTTTATACGTCATAATAAATTACAATACATTGACCTCTTGAAATATTCATAGCAAGTGAGTATGTATTATGAATACTATATAGTAAATACGTATGCTTACTTAATAGGGACTAGTTGCATGTAAGCTAATAATAGTATTTTGCAAAACCACATTCTTACTGCTTAAAAGTGTGTTACGAATTAATGACTAAATGCGCAATGTATTTAGTTATAATAAACGAAACCTTAGTTTTTATGGTTTTTACTACTCTCTACACATTCTCTTATACTTACATATGCAATTCACTAATAGAACTAAAAGTCTAACTTCAAATTTTTCATTTATGTACGTACACTATGTTACAATGTATATAGAATGAGAAGGTCTAAGGGCAGTTTATAAAAAAAATATTTAAATAAAATTTAATTTTACTTAAATTTACAAAAGAAATTTAGCTAGTAACACATTTCAAAACCCAAATTCTTACTTGCTATATACAAAACCAAAATTTCTAAATTTCTTTCAGTACGATACTGCTCCGCCTAAAAGTACATGAACGTACCATGTATCAGGCATCGTTCGGCGCGATTCAGTCCTCTGCAACACTGTCACAAAACGGACATTCCATGTGCGCTATAATCAGCTGCCGAAATGAATTCAGCACCATTAACATTTTTATGAAATAATTTTCTTCAAGTTTTCGTAAGCGGTGTTCATAATTCCCCAACTAATAAAGGAACGAAAAGAGTTAAAACCACATCCTCTGTAGAAATATTTTATACGATTTCCTCGCTCAAAGTAGATTTGTTTGCATATCGTCCACATTGTTTCTGATTTTTGACCCATTTCGCTTTGCATGGCAACTTTTATAACATTTAGCGGATAAAATAGTGTGCTAATTGACGCTCCGATAATTGCACCCGCAACAAATTCCTGTGCTGCTTTGCTTGTTTTCGACGTCTGAAAAAAGAATTACAATAATGATTTAATTATGTATATAAGTATTTTACAAATTCTTACAGTCTCTGGTAGAAATAATGAAACTTCTTCCCGAAGCATAAAGAACATGGCATTCGATGGTCCATTCCGCCACAGCACTGGCACAATACCTCTATATAGCTCTAAAAATCCGTGATGTACTAGTACATAACTAAAACGAGTTTAAGTATAAAATAAGTGGCAAAATGATAATATGTTTGTGTAACTTACTTGAACGCTCGCGGTGTATTAGCGAAATATGCATGGTATTTTGAATGTGCCAATAATGTTTGTATCCTTTCGAAAGGAAGTAGTACAGCTTCAACTGTGCCTGATGTAATACCAGCAATTATTTTAACCGTGTATGAGTTTATATTAAAGTTGTCAATTAAATATCTGCGTGAACCATCAAACACACCAAACATAATTGACAAAGATATTGTTTTTTGTGCCATTGGCGGGAATATACCACGATAAAGAAATCCTAAACCTTCGTGTCGTAACTGGCCGAAAGCTGATGTTATTGGCACACCATGGAGCATTTGGCGAAAAATCATTTTATAAATTGGATAGGTGACGCCTATATTTATAAAGGCTGCCCCACACCCACACGCAAACTCTTTCCAGTCGAAAGCGGTTAATATGGACTTGGTGTATATGTGTGGGGTTGTTGTTAAAGCCTCGCTGCTGACGTCCCGCAATTTTGATTCGTTGTTCATGTTGTACTATGCATGCAAATAACAGTTTTATCCAAATATTTTTTTTGTATTGTAATTGATATGTAGTACTCGTAAACTTATTTTCAACATTTGATGACGGTTAAACTGCTGGAGATACTATCAGAGGTGGGTTTGTATGAACCTTTTCGGTTTTGAATTCTATTTTTGGTCACACACACAGCTTTAATAGTTCACACTTCTATGCACTACACATGATCGAATGATTTATGCTTCGTATATCCCTAGATTATTAAGATAAAACTATTAAATTACATAACTATGATAATAAGCTATCTTACGGTCAGAACTATCCCTTTGGTAACTTCTCTCCTTATGCTTTACTTTGTCACATAAACATACGTCACGTTTTTCATTTAGCATATTTTGTAACACAGCCAGCTTTTGATTATAACAAATGGGAGAAGCAACACATCTGTATCAAGATTGTTGCCTCTCTGCCTCTCTTGTTAATCATAAAATATTTCCAGCAGGATAAAGGTTTTACACGTACTTTTAAAACTCCTCGTTCTTTTCGTAGTAAGAATTATCAGTCTGTCATTCTGTAAACAGCTGATATTTTAAATATCGCAGCTGAGGAGAAAATTAAAACGGCGTTGATTAGAGATGATAAAATGTTACTTTGGTTGAAGCGATAAAGGTTCAGGTGGTTGTTAATTATTCAAACTCAAATTGAGTACATGGTGCGAATAGCTAATATTTTGTTTATAATTAAAAGTAAAGAAAGCAAATGAATAAAAAAGGAAAGGAAGTAGACACCCTAAACTTTGTTAAATTTCTACCAATTACATTCAATGGTTGTGTTAACAAGGCATTTTGTGCATTCCTTTCTTCGGAAGATTGTGACCGTCATTATAGGTATTTTAAAGCTACCGTAGAGAGGGAAGCCACCGTTCCCACGACAGTCGGGTCTACGAAAACCGGAACGGACCCGGATTTTTATCCGGCCAAGGACTGTCAACTCGGCAGAATTCTGCCGTTACAACAACAACAACAGGGGATCCCCATTTTTCGTTTTTGAATCGTAGTGAGTACCATAATACATATGCTAATAAATTATTTTATCTTATAAAAGTAAGAGGAAAAATGTTAGCTTTTTCTGCACCAAAGTAATTATTCCCTTCACAGGTTTATTTCTTATGAATACAAGGGTATAAAATGATCTCTATCTTAATTTTGAGCCGTCAGTTTGTATTGCATCTATATGCAATAGTAGTCCGAATTGAACAATATGTTCGCATGTGACCACGATGTGATTTCATTTAAAATTAATGAGGTGACCTCACTGAAAGCTGCTGGCTCTATAAAAAAAGCAGACACCTTGCCTTCAGTGCTTAGGTGATTTTCCCGCCTCGAGGTGATGTGATTTAAAAGACAGGAGGTGACCTCACTGGAAGCTGGCTGCCAGCTGGTTCTATAAAAGAAAACCGGACACCGTACCTAGTCAGCGCTTAGGTGACTCTCCCTCCGCAATGTGATCTTATCTAGAATACACAAGATGACTTCACGAAAAGTGTGCTGCCAGCTGTCTTATATAAGTAAAGCAGTATCCGGGCCTAAACAGTGCCTAGATGATTCTCACGCCGCGATGTGATTTGATTTGGAGGTCACAAGGTGACTTCACTAACTTTTAAACTTATTAACTTCCGTAGTCGTTCACTTACATTTATCTTTATTTGCAGTTCGCTTAAATTACTAATAAAAACAAGAAAAAAAACGTTAGTTGCTATATGCTAAAAATTTCTGATCTGAACAATTTCTTTGCAAATCAAAAGGTTTTTGCATCCTTACAAACACTTGATTGCGATCATTCAGTTTGTATGACAGCTTTGATCAGAATTATATTTTTTATTAAAATAAATGAGCGCTTACTTAAATTTATTACTTGTTTATAGACTTATGTTAATAAAAAAATAAGTTTTTAAGATTTTTAAAATGAATGAAAATAATATACTTAAACAATACAAAATATTAACATGTTATATTGTAAAAAATTAAAAATTGTACTATATATGAAGAGTTTTATTAGTATCTTTATAAATTATATGTAAAGATGATCGTATTATAGCATCACTTCGTTCAACAAAGCCTTCTAGATGAGCCCACAAAAACCAAAAAAATAATATACAAATAGTATATTTTGTTAAACGATCTAGAATATATAAGCGACGAAGAACTTTCTTTGCCTGTGGAATTGTATCTTCATTCTCCCCAAGTATATATGTACGCATGCCAATTATATAGCCACGTATGTATTGCTCCCAGTTAACTTGACTAGCAGAGGCGTCGAAAATTTTCTGATCTAATTGATTTAGGTTATCGCTTAAACGTTGGAATTTCTCATTTCTAAAGTCCCAGTCTTTAGTCGTGTAGTACTGCAATAATTTTAGACCAGTTGAAATTTTGTTTTGAACATGCACCATACTGCAAGAAGAGGACAGTAAAATAATTTAAAAATATCTGCTATGTATAATTTATAAAAAAAAAAACAATTGACTTACAATCGTTTTCGCCCAAAAAGTAATAAGAGGAAATCAATGAGGTATGCCGGAAAGTAGTGAAAGAAAATCACACAAAATAAATGATGGTAATAATTCTTTTTGATCGAGCCATCTGGATACCACAATGCGTAGCTTAGTGGAAAGTCATAAAAAAATCGCTTGCCAGTCTCAATACTTTCACCCCAAGAAAAGAGAGCTTTCTTTGATATGCAAAGATTACAAAACTCCACATTTCCTTGTTCTTGTGACTTGCTACGATTGTATCCCGCAATTATCATTCCATTAATAGCTGTATCTACTGGTATAACTGTTGATGAATAGTCAGGGTTGCAATGCATTGAACGAATTACGCCACGTGCTGCGCCAATCATAAGTCCGGTAGGCCCATTAACACCTTCTATCCAACCAGGCAGAGGTTCCTTAATTGCAGCAGTTACTGAATAAAATAAATATAAAATACATCGAATTAATTTGCATCATAAAAGTTATTGTTTAGAGTCACACTATCATTGATACGGATATCTGATCGAACAACTTTAAAGAAGATTGCAAAGATCTTACCAATCGATGGTCGGGTAATAATGATAGGCAAATTTTTTTCATATCTACAAATCAGATCTTCAGTAAGCGCTTTGCTATAGGCATATGTGTTGGGTAGTCCATTTAACAGTCTAAAATTAAAATCAAAATTTTATTACTTTTGTTATGGTTTTTAAGTGATTTTAATGGTTGGGTATATTTTTACCTTGGTGTTATTTCCAGCAACGCCTCATCGCTCATTTCTTCCACCATTTTTATAACATCGTAGGGATTTTGTGGTGCTGGATAGGCGCGCTCTTCCAAAACGCTTTCGTTGCATTGACAGTATGACGTCGATACGTGTATGATCACTTGGAGATTGGCCATTTTCTCAGCCAACTGTAGCAATTTCAGTGTGCCCACAACATTCATTTGAACCATAGGTCGCAGGGGTTGGTCAAACCTCACGTTAGCAGCACAATGGAATATTACTTCAACATTCGATACTAATACGTTTGTGTCATTTGCGCTCAAACCAAGATTTTTTTCCAACACATCACCTTTGATGACTTGAATTTTATTCGCAATTTCAGGATTTTCTTTTAAAATTTTATTGAAAATCTGAAATAAAATTAAAGCTGAGTGTTTGTTTATTAACAAGCACAGAAGATACTCGTATTCTGACAAATTTCAACCTATTATTTCCAATCCTTGGAAGAAAACCTATATATGTATATAGAGTGGATTATATACCATTCTATTGGAAGAAGTGCGCGTTTCTGCAATTTCAAAATTTGCATTTTTCGAAAATGTCACCAACAAAGCACCATGTGATTGCCAGCATTCAAAACTCACTGTGATTTCAGAAATGTGATGACGTTATACACCAGAGGTTTTGACAAAGTTCTGCTATTAAGACCCAATACCTACCAAATTTTTAAGGTACGAAAAAATTCAATTACCGTTTACTACTCTCATTATTAAAAAAAAACTGCTTGTACTACATGACGACTTTGAAATTTTATGCGTCTATGTGTAAGAACGATGTTGCCCATTGAAAATTTAACCGCATCATCTAAATGTGGAAATATCGAGGCAAATACATACAGATGTACATTATATGTGTGTATTGATTTTCAAAAAGCAAAATGTCTTCAAAAGCGTTATTATATTTAGCAAACAAATAATTTCAGTTTGTCTAATGCGATCTGCGGGCCATGACTTAATTGAAATAATCATTGGTAAATATTGTTAAAATTATTATATACATATATGAATATGTACCTGATTCCTAATTTTACCTAATAATGTAAGTACTTACATAGTTATTTACAATAGTACTTGGTCCATAAATACTTTTTATAGTGGAAAGGTAAAATTAATGCTCATGTTTGCTACCACAAATTTGTGTATATACTTATACATATATTTATGTAAACTGCAACAAGCTTATGATAAGGATTATCACATTTTCTCATACAATTTTTATAGTAAAAGACAAATTTGCTTCGTTATAAAATTGTTCTCAGCGATTACCTTTTTATCATAACCTGAGCTTTAATTTATAAAACTCTCATCAAATTATGAGAATTCAAAATAATTTTTCGTCAGCCAGTTTTGAAGGTTAGAGTTAACTACAAAGTGCCACCCTCTCATAGATGCGAACTTTTCATTTCTGAATTTCATCTTTGAATTTCTTCATTGACACTCAATAACAAGTTGTAAAAATATTTTTCAAACTCCGATTCTTTTAGAATCCACTATATATACTTGAAAGCTTACCACACATTTGAAAAACTGATCCTTGCGTATCAAGGGATCGACACCTTTCTTAGATCTTATAAGCAGATAGATCCTTTTCACTTCCGGACAGCTGCGCAACAATTTCTCCACCAACACCTTGCCCATAAAACCCGTGGCGCCGGTTATAAGTATGTTTTTGCCGGCATACCATTGGGCTATTTGAGATTTTTCACATTGTTCCACTGTAGTAAGGAGTTCCATTGTGTGGAAATATGAGTTTCTGCATGGAAATAGAAACAGGTATAAGCATAATTACAAATAAAACGAAAAAAGTAACAAAAAATTTTAATAGCATAAAGTTTACTGTAGTGGTAGGCGATTGATGTAACGGCGTTACTTAGTGGCACACTTTCATGTACATAAATCTATCCTAATTTTCATTTGAATTGCCCACTACATATTAACAGAGTCTAAACAGAGTCAATATTTGTTGAGTTGTGATTGTTTTAGTCAAAAACATTGTATGCATTTATTGTACATAGTGTGCATGTGTATGTGGCGTTGGCATTTTTGCACCTACGTATCTTATACAGCGTATGTCGACAGTTGGTAAATACCGTTTTATGTCTTTGCTGCTGGTTAAATAATATTGAGTAAACTCTTTAAATTATGTTCGCATATTTATGAAACAAGAAAATTATTATTTGGAGTTTTTGGAGATTTTCCATTATTATATAATCAAGCTTTATATACGAGTATACATATATGATATATGTATAATTAAATAATAATTAATATTAATTTTAAACAAATCATTCATCTTCGATTATATAATAATAAAGGAAAATCTGTATATATTTCGGAGTATGTTGTTGAGTTTACACTTGTTAAATATATGTTGAGATAAAAAACACCTCCTACATTTAAATTACGTAGAATCAACTGTCTTCTGGGCGAGAATATATTAGCGTCACCAAAGTTTTATTTTAATTTGTACTATTTCCGATTTATAATAATTATTCTAATTATAAGTGGTCACAACATTTTTGTTAGAAAGTTTACTCACTAAAATAAAGCCGACTTTAATAAAATAACAAAAATCACAAGTTTACGTATGTAGTATAAACATTCATGCAAATATCATGAACAAAAGACTTAAGCGACATATTTAGTTTGAAATTTTCAAACTACGGCCGCCAAGCTTTCATTATTTTTTGCTTTATCGTTTAACGCTCCATTTTCACTAAGCCTAAACTGTTAGCTGTGRATTTTTTTGGGTTGTCAAAACTTTACTACATAAATGGCAAAAAATTCTAATCTTGCGTTCATTTTGGGGCACCCTTCACAAACCCCATTAAAAGGCCCTGCCTGCTTAATAAATTACTACACTTTCAATTTCAAACACATTGGTGCTCCTCTTATCGCACTCAACTAATCTCACTTTAGCTGTGAATTTCATTAAAATTTGCAGCATATGTACTTATGTGGGTATGTATAGGTGCATGTGCATCGTTCAAAATTAAATTATCCTGATTATATTATATACTATATGTATAACATACATAAATTGCACTGAAAAAGTCTTATACATTTTAATATTTGCTTTCTCAGTTTTTTTGCTTTGTTGCGAAGGGTTGTTTCGACAAGAAGTTTAGGTACATAGATGTCTCACTAATTCAAAGTTAAATTATAAAATGTTTGAACTTTATAAAAATATTTTACCAAATAAATATTGTCAAATATGCCTGTGGACTAAACAATAATAATTTTTAGTTCAATATTTCAAATTTTTGTCTGCAACATATTTTTTTAAATTTTCATAGATGTACGTAGATAGTTGTGTTATTACAAAATTATCCAAAAAATGCTGTATAAATATCATAAAAAAATTTACAATATTTATTGTTTTATTGTACGACGATAAATGTTTTATGCTGTGGCTTTTAGTAGCTCTGCTACTGCTGTGTAAATATTCACCCACATATGTATGAACATATATGTTTATTTATTTACAAGAAGTGCTCAAAATTGAAATATTCAAGTAAGCGAATACGCGTAATATTCACCGCTAATGCTGTTGGTGTAACAAATTAGCACTTTTACTACCTTGCACGCAATATTTTATCAAATGCATGCATACACCCCAACTTACATACATACATACATACAATGGATTTAAGCATACCTTGTGAGCAGCAGTTCTCGTGTCAGAGTCGTTACTTTTGTCTTGCGTTAAGCTTCGGCATGTGCATATGTGTATGTGTGTTTTAATACCTAATTAAAAGCGTTTGTGTACTGCGGTAGCAACCTGTTCGTGTAAATATGAGGAAACTGGCGCATATTGAAAGTCGCACATTTGTATTTTCAACTTTATAAATACATACATATTTGTTTTGTTATAGTAATATACATATGTATATTTCTTTATTTGTACTATGTTTCTGTTGATAATACAAACATTATAATCTATTAGTAAAATGCATACTCAAACTTATAGTCTCTGTGACTTCTTATGTTGAAGCCGGCTAGAAACCATTGCAGTGAATATATTATATATACAGCATGGTTTGACTAAAATTGGAAGTATAATTAATTTTTTATAGATTTTTTTTGTTGAGAGCGCGGGAATATAAATATGGCGCATTTTGAAAGTTAGATAGATTTGGAGTGAACTTGTTGAAGATACATATATGCACTGTAAATGGAGTACTGGAATTTAAATTGTACCAGAAAATTTTGTTATCAGTTCCAAATCGTTTAATTAAACCGTTATATTAAGAAACAAGAAAATATCGGACAAGTGGTGAGCAAGGGTTTGAATTAAATACGAATCTTTTTTCACTAACGAAAAATATTTTTGTGCACCAAATATTTTATTGCATAATTATTTATTACCAAAATTACCTAATTTTACACCTAAGATGCGCCTTGATGCAAAATTTATGTTTTTATACTTTTTTTAGATAAAAAAAGTCTTTAAATAAATAATAAGTAAATTCCAGACTACTTATGAACTTGAAAATTGGTTGTTAAAGATAAAGAAGCGGAATATATTATTTGACGAATCTTCGACGTATTTGCAATAAAGTAACCAATGCGGTCACCATTGGTGAGTAGATTGGTGTAAAATTACATGCGAGCTCAAATTCGCAATGCTTTCGTAATAATTATTTAATAATAAGAATGTGTGCTTTAAATCCATATATACGTATACATATACATACACATCTAATAGTTACAGTAAGAAAATTTTTGATTTTTCAAGGCGTTTAGAATACAATGCATCTACTTAAATCTAAGCTCAAAATGTGTCCAATTGTTCATATATAAATACATATGTATGTATTTAAATATACATATGCTGTGAAGCAGCCGAGGCATTACTTTGAGATATACGCTGATATACATASATACATATGTACACATGTACAATATGATTGTAGTGCAAATTAGTTAACAAATAAATATCTGTTATATTCGGACGTTCACATTCACTTTTTAGCAAGTACACAAACTTAGTTATACAAAGTACCCAAAGTTAAGCTTAGTACTAACACAGTCCAGTAGGCACTATTTAGTTTCAATGGCATTTTTTGCAAATTCATATTTTTTGACAAAATTTTTACGCTTGTCGGTATTGTTGGTATTGGCGTTAATTCATATTTTTTTTTTATTTCGATTGCTTCTGCATGCATAACTTGAAGAAATATCATTATTTTGCGCTCAATTCATTTGAAACATTGAAGGAAATTTCATTATTCATTGCATTTTATTACTTTGGCACTCTTTTACGGCAACAATTAAGCGCTTTTCTCTCACATTGACATTATAATTAAGTATTATAGTGAGGCATTACAACTTTCAATTTCATTTGTTACAAATTAATTTGGAATTTCCTAATTTTTATACGCGTGCTAATTGCACTGTTTGTCTAAGCATCTTTACGCTGATTTGATTCAGGGTTAAACTGCTCAAGGCTGTGTTATTAGTGACAAAATACATCAAGACTTTGTAGACCACATTTAATTGCATTGTTTTCACACAAAAATTGTTCGGTGATGTTCTATATCATTAGCACATTTGTATTAATTTCTTTATAAAGCAACAAATTCGAGATACCATGCAGTTCCTTGGAGGAGCGTTCGTGACTGTTCATATACTAATATCGCTGCTGTTAAACTCGTACTAGGCTTTCCGCGGCACTGCTGCGACTCACCCACTAACCGACTGACTGAGTAACTGACTAATAGAAGTAAATGAAAAGTTACTCTTCACTATGATTGCACGCAATTGACGACTCGGAAACTTGAGGAAACACAATGCTTATTTCATGTACGACTACAGGTATTTGTGGTATTTCCAATATTCGAGCGATCGAGCTGCGAGCTTTACTGCGCTTGCGATTGGAGCGTTTGTTGTGGTTTTCGCCTGAAGTCACAGCACAAACTGAAGTGAATATCATGAATAGGTAGGAAATTATATGATCTCGGCAGCAAAGGAGCCTAAATAGACGAACGAAGCACATGCACACACATACATACAGATCATGTTTTAAGTAGTTAATAATATTTGTGGTAAGAAAAATAAGAGTAGGCAAATAAAGAAGCATCTTTCGAGGCGAATACGCTTTGCGCCAAATGTATTGGTGTTCGTTTCGGTATATAGGGTCAACTAAATACCCATAGGTAGCACCAACAGTAAGTTACAAGTAATTTTACAGTGCTTAAAGTGTTTACTTGGGCAGTGATTTGCAAGAAAATACTTTGACTCGATTTAGACTGTCATAAATACTAATTAAAGACTGCAAGCATTTGTCAACGTGTGTACATTTCAATAGCATGAGAATTATGTTGACCTTCTTGCCCTACCCATGAACAAATTTACTTAACCCTTGTTCCAAAACTGGTATGCTATTTGAGAAGAATTCTTCTTATTTAACTTCAAACCCAACATATGTGTGTGCACATATAGTGAAACGTTGTGATAACAACAATATTCATTAGTATAATAGTACTAATTAAATAGTGTTAAAAGCCCGCTTAAAAATACATTATTAATAAGTCAGAAAAATATTGTAAAAATCAATGTTCAATTGATATCGTCGTTTAGGGCAATTATTTACAAACTTACTTATGTAGTTATAATCGGTAAATTCAATCCCGGAGTAATTCTTTTCGGTAGCGCGATTTCTTTTAAGCTGGTAAAAAATGCTTTGATAATTTTTTATTGAAAAATGAAGCAAAAATATTTTGAAGGATCTACCTCAGCGACAGCAAACGGATTTAAGTTGAAGCGGGTATTGTGTGAGTGAAAATTGTGATAAAATTCTCATCTAACAACCGCCGTCTTATGGATCGACAATGTTGAAATAGATCCTATTAGAAGGCCAATACTTACTTCCTTACCACTGCACAGGATTTACTGCTACAACAACATCAACATGAATTAAAGAGAAGGCATTAAATTGTGGTCGAAAACCATTATCCCCGCCCTAAAGAAAGAGCTCTGAAGTTTTTTCAAAACACCTAACAATTGACAGATTTTTCTCTCTGAATTTCGAAAATCCAAATATGTTATAACCCCTAGAAGAGTGGTCATGAGTCGATTGGAGCAAAAATGAAAAAAAAAATGTGTTAAGTGATTCGGTAAGGGGTCTATTAGATTACCATTATTTCATTTGACCATTTTTACCTTGTAAACCTGTATCTCTTTTTCGCTTTTCTCGAACCAGAATTAGTTGAAACCTTGTAGGTACACTTTTTTCTGTGTCCTTTAAGATAGAATAAGCTTTGGAACCGACAAAAAGACTAAGAGTGCATGTAATAAAGAGTTTTTGTATCTATGGATAGACTCAACTCATTTTATTTACTGAACCTTTTGGAAAAACTTCATCGAGAAGAGGGACGTCGAAATTGTGCATCAATCTAGTAAATAGCGTTCCGAAAATAAGCTGAAACCGAAAAACCAAAATTCGCCAAAGGCACTGAAATTCATTCCATCCAAGGCTTATAACAACTTTTCAGGACTCTAAAGTTAGTGCTTAAATTGTCAAAAAACTCTAGAATATGAAAACCTTAGTCTGTCATACCCCTTAAAACAACTTTAAGGATGCTTAACAAATATCTTAATGGGATTCACTAAGTGAATAAACACATAACAGGTAACGTATGTAAACAGGTTAAAAATGTGACAAAGAAACTGGTTAGGAAGGCTACTCCTTGCCTTGGCATAAAAAGAAAACTGAAAGTGAAAACTACCGGTTTGTAGGCATATGAATGCGTTCAGTGAATATATTCCGTTTACCTAATTTTGCCATTGCTACAAAACAGCACAACAATGCGTTTAAGGCAATATCTGCTTATTTGCAAAAATAACACCAACAAACAGAAGAATTGGCCCAAATTTACTTCTTCAAAAGGTTAGCGTTATTAACTAAGCTCATAGCAGTAAAAGCAATTTTTTTTTTCAAACAGCTTGAGTTATATAATCTACGTAAGTATATACCATATATATGTACACATTTGCGTACAATCACTTTATTAATGGATATGTGCGAATTTACAATTGAAATAATTATAATTTGGGCATGAATAAGTGTGGCCAGGAAATGAGCTATTAACATGTTAAAGCTTGAGTATATTTTTTACGGAAGTAGTATTTTTCGCATATTTCATTCTTACATTTATACGAGCATAATCTTATGTTGGCATATATATTATATGCATACAAACATATTTACAATGTTTAAGCTTACGAAACAAATATTTTTGGTACTTTTTCGCTTTTTATCACATTGCACACTTTATTAGGGCGAACAGGGAGAGAAAAACGACTATTTTCCTCAAGGCCGCCGAGATGTAAAGTGCAAGCAGAGACAAAAAAGACACTTATAAACCTGTTCGGTACCAGTTAGGGATTGGTGGGTGCGTTGCATCCGAAGAGAAACCTCATGTCGATTTTATAATACCCTTTGCTAACAAAAATGCAACTGATGCCAAAATAAATGCAAATGCAATTAGAGCACAGCTGCAAATATGAACAAAAAGTATGAAACTACCAAAAGTTGCCTAAATTAATACTATTTGATTGAAACGAACTTTGTATTTACACGACTGTCGAAGAAGCACGTGTGAATCAGGAAAAGGTTAGGCTACCTTCAAAATTATATAAAAGGTGGTTGTTAAACTGCTGATATGATATTTAACGGCTCTGAAGAGCTGATTGTTTTCCATTATTATTTCTACATATTTCATTGTAAATAAAACGCAAAATCTTTAATTATTCATCAATATTTATTTTGTCGACTTCAAAATAGTGCCCACAAGATGTAATACACTTATGTCAACGAGTTTTCCCCTCCTCGAAACACTTTTCATAAGTACTTTTTGGGAAGGCCTTCAGCTTCTACCACGGATGGTATTCATTGCGGTTTTAGCTTTAAATTTGGTCACAACCGTAGCGCGCTGTAATGATGCATATCATCGTGTAAAATCCATGAATTGTCTTTCCGCTCGTTACGGCCAAATAGTACTTCTTATTGACCGCCTGTCCATCCAGAACCAGTTCATAATGCATCAAATCCTTGATTTTTAAACGGGTTTTCTTGTTCTTGTTAAACTCATAAACCCTGTCACACCGGCAGTTATAATGCTCTCGTTGAATATGTGATCGGAATTCGCATGATCAAGCATGTCCAAAGAGACGGGTTTACGATCCTATTAAAAAAAAAACAGCTTTATAGGGACAAGTAAAGCAAGAAGGTGTTTAATACCCAAAATATCCACCAAAATTATTCAATCGGACTCGGGAGAGATGTCGAGCTCTCTGGTCATCTCTTTTACGCTTGCCTGACATTTTTCAAGCAACGTTTCCTTCACTTTTTATACCCTGAACAGGGTATATTGAGTTTGTCGAGAAGTTTGTAACACCCAGAAGGAATGGTCGGAGACCCTATAAATGATCAGTATGTCGAGCTGAGTCGATTTAGCCGTCTGTCTGTCCCTCAGTTTTTAAGATATCGTTTTGAAATTTTGCAAACATCATTTTCTCTTCAAGAAGCTGCCATACAAGCTGAACGATCGGAATCAGGTTCTTGTATGGAAAACTTTCACATTTCACAATGTACTATATTTTCACAAAAGTTGACACAGGCTATTTTCTAAGGCAACAATGTAATATCCGAAGAAATTGTTTAGATCGGATTAATATATTACATAGCTGCCATACAAACTGAATGATCGGAATCAAATGCTTGCATGGGAAACTTCTTCATTTGATGATATATCTTCACGAAATTGGGTATGACTTATTTTTTGTAGAAATAATGTAATATCAGAAGAAATTGTTCGGATCGGCTCACTATAGCATATAGCTGCCATACAAGCCGAACGATCGGAATCAAGGGCTTGTATGTAAAAGTTTCCCACTTGACGTCGAATCGTCACGAAATTACTGCTTAAGGTAACAATATAATCTCCAAAAAAAAATTGTTCAGAACGGATGACTATAGCATATAGCTTCCATACAAACTGAACACATAGTTACTAACAGAAATGCTCCTGTGAAGGGTATTTAGCTTCGGTGCAACCGAAGTTAACGTTTTTACTTGTTTAATATTCTCATCATCACGACCATCTTTAATGGCTTCGTATCACTCGTAGATTTGTGTTTTAGATAAAACTGAATCACCGTGAGCGTTAGCCGACTTTCACAATGATTCCTCACCCGAAATTTGGTTAGAAATGAGACAAATTCTTTGTTCGATATTTTTATCCATTGTAAAAATCAGAGATAAAGAGATGCCCAATTCATCTCTCATTGGACGTGAGAGATCAATTAATAAGAGTTAAAACATCTTGAATTCTGTCAACTGTTACAGTTCAGGAGGTTTTGACTTCTAGCAATTATATAGTAAACTAGGGATGGTCACATTGAAATCTTAACAAAAAAAAAAAAAAAAATATTTATAAAGGGAGGGATTTGTTGCATAATAAAAAACCTGTTTCACTATGATGCAATTTTTAATGGGAAATGATTAAAAACATTTATTAATTGAGAAATAATTTAAATACCTTTATTGTTTGAATATACCCTTAAGTAACTAAGATTTA